TTTGACGTCGCAGTGTTGTCACCGCGGTTTTGTTGGTGCACATTTTTCGGGCGCGCATTTGTCGGGTCACGTTATATTACTGCAGTTGTCAGGATAAAAGAGAGGGCTGCAAGATACCAGAACTAATATAATTCAGTTGGGGGTCCTTCTGCTAAAGCAGGGGTGTCACACTGGATTTCTTCGAGAGCTGGATCAGCATTGTAGTACTGCATGGGCTGGCGGTGGGAGGGGGAGACAGGACGGATGGCCTTCTGCAGCCCTTTGCCAGGCGAAATGGGGCATGAGTTTTTTTGGCTACCAGAGGCACTGTGGGCTGGTCCTTGGGTATTTCCAGACTGGCCCCATGGGCCAGATTTAAGCACCCCACAGGCCTTGAGTTTGACACCCCTGCTCTATAGAGTAGCCAGTAAATTCCTGAAGTTAGGTTGCAGTAAAATGAAAGCATAGCAGCCCAACAGATGCTGTAGGAGCATTTAACCCAACGTAGAGAGGAAACTTTTGAACTGAAGCAGACAAAAATGTGTGTGAGGATGGCTTTCAAAGTGAATGGAGGATTGATGGAGGGTGAAGGTGTCCATTTCTGCTTTCCAGAAATGATCGTCAGCCACTTCTGAGAATCGGGTTAGCGATAGGTCCAGATATGTTATCCATAATAAAGAAACCTAGAAAATGCTGCAGGGAGTATAGAGAAATCTTCCAAGCAGATATTCAGAATGGCAACCAGAGTTTTAAAAGGGCCTGGATGGATTATTTTGTGGAAACCTAAATACTTCAAAGGTCATTTTGTTGCTGCAGTGAAGATGTCCTTTAATACCAATACCACTCAGTGACCATTCAGCTGATTTGCTAACCTAAACATTCTGCTTTTCCAGACCACATTTACCCCCTACTCCAAAGTTATCCAAGTGTGTGTTTTATATTGATTTTAAAGGTTACCTTGCACACATCGATTTGAATGTTCAGTAAAGTACACATTTGAAAATTCTCCAACTTCTGATCTCAAGCATTGAGAAGACACCTAGGTTTATTACAATTTCAATTATTTTTAGAAAGCTCTACAGAAACGTGCAGCATTTAGGAATGCTACTAACCACCATTACTATTAATAGCTATAAATTATTGATTTGCGATTATGAGACAGAATTCCTAGAAAATGGCTCTTGCTTCTTATTCAGAAAGAAGGCAAATTAGCATAATAAAGTTAGAGCTTGTAGTACACAGGTGAGATGTTCAAGCAGGTGCAAAGGCTTAGGATGTTTCAGTTTGGCTGTGAGAAATCAGAATTATTTAGGTAGATGGTAAAATGCATAAAAAACCGCATCCCAGTGCATTTGTAAAAGTTGTAATGCATTTCCTCTAGGTGAGAAAAAAAGTTAATTCATTCCAAATACAAGTTAAGAGAAAGACCCAAATTTTCAGAGACCCTAATATATAGCATTTTGAACAGTGAGATAAACTGACCCGTATGCTCATTCCAAATTCCACCTGCCTTGAGCTAATTGTTATATTTCAAGAAAAGGCCAGTTTTTAGGGAGTGTTCCCCCCAAAGGCCATTAATTTGTAAAATTCTGACAATCTCAATTTCATTAACTTGCTGGTTGTTGACCGTGCATCACAACACAATCAGAAAACAGATGGAGAATATATATTTTTAATTTGTATGACAAATTTCTGTTTTACCGTAATGCCAGCTGTCATTCTGGCCATGCGGATGTGTCAAGCAGCAAAATTCAAGAGCAAGTTAATATAAAAGAAGACTTCTTTGATGAGAAAAATAAAGACAGATTTGAAGAATGGAATCCAAAAACTACATGTCTCCTAGATTCATGTTGTTCTAGACCATAAAGTGGTTGGTTTTGGCTTAGTTTGCTATATAAACCCAGTAACAGTGGCATATTCAAGAAA